ATGAAGATGTAGATCTAAAAGAGATTATGTTCAAAAGTTGGAGGAAACATAACTAAAGACATTCTCTGGTTTGTTAGATTTCATGTGATTCAGATAATAAGTCTACATCTGATCACAATCAAACTGCTACATTTGGCAAGCATGAGGGAAATAATCAAATTGTAATTCATCTGCAGCAAAGTCATAGTATTTTTTACTATATTTAGCCAGATGACATATTTGATTCTTTTTTCTCTAAGAAGAGAACATTTGAAATTCAATAAATATTTTTAAATGTAGAGGAAGTTAAATTACAAAAACTGAAAAGAGTTATTTCTTGGCTGTATGTACCATGGAATATATATGTTTATAGTTGTATGCATACCCTTTCTTTATCAGTGTGCTATGATAAAATAAAAGTGTCTTCAGCCAGCAATATTTGCTGACATAACTGGAAGAAAGTTAAGGTTAATGCAAGAAGAGATTGAGAAATGAACTGGTTTTCAGCTCTGTTGTGCTCTGAGTATTGTTTTACTGCCTCGTGTTGAATTTACATTTACCTGGAAACATTTCCATTTAAGTAATGTTGGACACGTGGTGGCCCAGATGGCAGCACAAATATATATGAATTGTGTTTCCTGAGTTATAAAACAAAACAAAATAAACAAGAGTACAGAATGAGAACTAGGACACATGAATGTACCAAGATATTCTGCAGCTCCTCAGTGCTCCAGGGTAAGTCCAAACCCCTCCCCAAGCCTGCTAGGCCCTGCCCAACTGAGAGCTTCACCTTCTCTCCTTTCCTAAGTTTCACACCAGAGCTTTTTAGTTTCTGAAATGCACCAAGAACACTGCATCTCTGGGCCTTTGCAGTTACCTCTGCCTGGAATGCTCTTCCCAGTGTCTGATCAATACTCACACATGAGGTTTCAGCCTAGAAGCCAGTTTCTTAGATAAATGCTTCTTCATCAACCCACCAAAATTAGTATTTCCTATTTTGTTGTTCCCAAAGCCACCTTTAGAGGATTTATTATGACAAAAAATACTACTTGCCCCTTTAAGAATTTACTTTGTTCCATGCAATCCTAAGTATAATGTGGGCATTAAGTCATTTAATTGCATCATCATGTGTGACTATTTGATGAATATCGATCTCTCCCATTGCACTTTACATGTCTTGGGTCAGACACTATGTCATTTCCTTAATGCATTCTCTGTAGCCTCCATTGGGGTACTGGCTTCAGAGTAGTGCTAATAGATGAGGTTTACTTGCTAGTGTTCTTGTTTTGTTTTGTTTTCCTTTTTGAAATTAGTACATGTTTGCAGTACATGCAGTTTATTGTCATCTTGAGGAGTGGGTTCCTGTACATAATACAGCTTGGTTCTTGTTTTTCATCCTCTTCCCCTTCTCACCCACCTCCATCCCTCCTCCTTCCCCATTTTCATTCTTGTTGATATTATTAACCACATCTCATTTTTATGACCATTATGTTTACATTCATTGATATTACTAGGATCCTGTACATGGCATATTTTTATTCTACTTATTTCCCCTTCCCCTCAACCTCTCCCTTTACCCTTGGACTCCTGCATCCCTTCCCATTTACAAGAGATAGATCCTCTTCTATTCCATCCATCTTTTTTGGGTGGATTTTAGGTATACATTATGCTAATATTTATCATTGGGCATTTGTACCTATACAAAATATGTCTTGGTTCTTATTTTTCCCCAGTCCCCTACCCTCCCTTCAACACCTCCAACCCTTCCTATTTACAAAGACTTTGTTTCCATTTTTTCCTTTTTTCATACTTTTTTCTTTCCTTTCCTGCTTTTCTTCTACCCCTCCTACTTCCCTTCCCTGTTTTACCTTTTCTTCATATTTCACATTATTCTATCCATCTCTTATTGTGTTCTTTGCATGTACTTTTACTTACTCAAGTGAGAGACACACATGCTTTTGGTTTGGTTTGTTTTGGTTTGGTTTTTTAAAAAATGGGTTTTCTCTGATTTAGAATATTTTTCAGTACTTAGGATTGAATTCATGGATTTGTACATGCAAGGCAAACACTCTACCACTAAGCTACATCACCAATCATTTTATATTTTGTTTTGAGACAGGGTCTTGGTAAGTTGCCCAGGCTGGTCTTGGACTTATAGTCCTCCTGCCTCGGCCTCCCATATAGCTGAGATTATAGGTGTAAACCACTGTGTGCAGTGGGTTTAGAAAGTGTGTATTTGTCAAGGTCCTGCTTGCAAAGATGTGTCCTTAGGACATAGTATCACACTCAAGTCCCCTCAGGGCTGTAGTGTTGATGGCCTAGGGCAG